TGCCGCAGGCCAAGTGTTACTTTGGAAGGATGAACCGGGGATGTTGGATCCAAGGTTTCAGGCCGTGGGGTGAGCACCACTGATAGCAGTCCACGTCTAAGCGTAGGTGTTAGGCCCATGGTAGGACCAAGGTGTCAGATCGTGATCAGCGGTGACGTCGTTCTGACACTCGCCCGTCCTATTCACGGGCAGGGATCCAGCTCCGGCCGTGGGCAGTGGAAGAGGTAGCATCTGCCCCCAGGTGCCTCGTTGGCTTGAGCTGGTATAAGGCAAAGACCCGCTCGACAAAGCCGTCGTGCCCGTACGCGCCTTCGCCCACGGCGAGCACAGCAGCATGCAAGAGGTAAGTGGAGCGGTTAAAGTATTGGTAGATGTAAGGGCAGCAAGAGGAGGCTTGAGGGTGCTCCTCTGCACACAGCTTACATCGACCCCTCTGAGAACCAAAGTCTACGTGCGCTTCCTTGCACTCGCTTGCCATGTGCCCAATGTGCCAACATTTGTCGCACACAAAGGGGTGGGCAATGGTGATGTGGGGCAAAAGGCGGGCGCTGACCAGGGGGCTACCACTTGTACCTGTTGAGATGAAGGCAAACGACTTGCCAAGCATGCGCTTGGCGTCAATGGGCGACGCATAGCTAACTCCACGTAGGTTTTCGAGCCAGAAGAGTCTCCCACAATGCAATGTGAACATGTATATAAGCATCATGAGACCAAGTCTTCTACGTGGGTCTCCTTGTCCAATCTAGCACATGACGACATCAGCGTCGCAACATAGCTGCATTGACACAAACACAATTTCTGAAAGGGAGACGATTTCATCCTCGGGCATAGCTCAAATCACGAAATTGACAGATGTGGGTACAATACGAATGTAGTCATCTTTCAATACTGACTCGCTTATGAACTCGCAAAAAACTACGACCATTCATGACTGACGTGAATGACCCAATTGCGGACCATTTCTGTGATTTTTGCTTCAACCGCTGCGACTCCTCGTACAGGCCCGTGGGCCTACTTCGCTGACGGGCCGCTCTTATACGATGTCCGAGATACGAAATCATTAATCAAGAACGACTTCCAGGAGATGATGGGCACAAGCCTTACAGTATGCAACTTGTTGCTCAAATCTCTTCCAAAATTTGACGCGTATTGTGAGGGCAGGTTACAGCCAGTCTTCAGCCTGGCGCATTGAGTGGACGCCAGCTGGCTGATCGCCGCCCGCTGCCATTCCGTCAGGTTGGGACTTAATCAACGTTCCCGAGAATACCATTCTTCAATTAAGTTTACTTTTATGAATTGTGACTGACACCGCAGCTTTTGAACTTAATATAAACGAGTTTTTTTGAAGCCATGTGTTCTAGACATCTACCGTTCAAGTGCATGTAGGTGGCTCCACCAGGTAATCATAATTTGCATGATTATGACATTCCCCCGATATCAGAAAGCAGACTGCCAGACAGAAGCCAAATTGAATCGACAAAAGACAATCAGCGTGAGTGGCCCATCAATGAGACAGGCCGATAAGTGAAATAAGACTATCCATAAATGGTGCGAATGCCATTTCACAAAGGGGTATCTTTTGGTGATGTGCAACTCCCGTTATCAATAATCGGTATGCATGATCACGGCTTTTCTACCAAACGCCAACACTTATCCTTGCTTTGATCCGTGGATCGGAACACTCTACATCATGCACGCCTTCGTGAACTCACGAATCGTGAATGAATCATACAATCATGCTCTGTAATGCGCAGTGGGACCTGTTGCCTCCTCCCGGGCAAAGGTTGGGAGTCACGAGGGACGCATGACATGCAATCCTCAGCGCGATGCGCGCATGGATGCAGGAGCATCGCCCTAGGATCAAGGCAGCAGGCTTTGAGTGGCAGGCGCTGAACCAGCTCGCCCTCAAGCTCGGCACTCACCTTGGGCTGCTACAACCTCTCACTGGTACTCACCTCATCCAGGAGTTTGGCATGGTGCGCATCTCACTGTGCAGGTCGTGCACAGGCTATGGAGAGGCCGACTGCGCTGCCCTGAACCTGTGCGCCCAGCTGTGCATCCTTGCACTCAACATGATCACGGAGCCACCAGCCTGGGTGCCTCTCGACGCCATCTGTACCCTCAGGGAGGTACAGCACGCCAATTGGATCTTCGCATGCTGCATTGTCGTTGGGAAGGTGACAGGGAGGGCGCTCAATCCGACGCCTACCAGGGCCAGGATTGCAGACATGGTGATGGCATGGCTTCCAGCCGACATCAAGAATGTGTGGCAGGCCTTTGTGCGATGCCACCCAAGTCGCAGATACAAGATGGACCTTGCAGCCTCTGGAGGCTGACCCATGCATGCAGCCATGGAAGGAGACATGGGAGCACGAGAGTGCAATGTGCTCTCCATTGCTCCTGCTGGGTGGGGATCCTCCCTCTCCTTGCCCGCAAGAAGATAAGGCACAGGATCCCCTAAACCCGGCCACCGTCTCACTGCAAGACCAACCACGCCAAGTGCTCCGAACAAAAGCGGAGCGCACAACTAAAGAAGAAGAAG